TGAACCGTTAGAGCCAATAGAATCGAGAGGGAGTTCCTAAATCCACCTACATGTTACCATTGAGGAGTGAGAGTGATGCGCATGCAGCTTGCCCAAACTGAAAGCTATGTTACGCTCTGAAAACAGAAAACTAGGTTTATTGCCATAAATATGATGATGGATTATCAGTAAGGCAAGGCAAGGCAAGTTTATTTATATAGCACTTTTCAACACAAGGCAATTCAAAGTGCTTTACAAAAAATGAAAGACATTAAGAAAAGGGCATTTAAAATCAGTTATTAAAAAGAAAAGCTAATAAAATAAACATTAAAAGAAAAAATACATGGATAAAAGTTACAGTGCAGTTTAAGATATGAATAGTTCAATTAAAAGCAGCGACAAAAATAAAAGTCTTCAGCCTGGATTTAAAAGTAGTAAGAGTTGCAGCGGACCTACAGGTTTCTGGGAGTTTGTTCCAGATATTTGGAGCATAATAACTGAACGCTGCTTTACCATGTTTAGTTCTGACTCTGGGGACAGAAAGCTGACCAGTCCCTGAAGACCTGAGAGATCTGGATGGTTCATAATTTAGCAGGAGGTCAGAAATGTATTTTGGGCCTAAACCATTCAGTGCTTTATAAACCAGCAGCAGTATTTTTGAAATCTATTCTTTGACACACAGGAAGCCAGTGTAAAGACTTCAGAACAGGAGTGATGTGATCCACTTTCTTAGTGTTAGTGAGGACTCGAGCAGCGGCGTTCTGAATCAGCTGCAGCTTCCTAATAGATTTTTTAGTGAGACCTGTGAAGACACCATTGCAGTAGTCGAGTCTACTGAAGATAAAAGCATGGACAAGTTTTTCCAAATCCTGCTGTGACATTAGTCTTTTAATCCTAGATATATTCTTTAGGTGATAGTAGGCTGATTTAGTAACTGTTTTAATGTGACTGTTGAAACTCAGGTCAGAGTCCATGACTACACCTAGATTTCTGGCTTTATCTGTTGTTTTGAACATTGCAGACTGAAGCTCAGCGCTAACTTTTATACGTTCTGACTTGGCTCCAAAAACCATTACCTCAGTTTTATCTTTGTTTAATTGGAGAAAGTTCTGACACATCCAGTCATTGATTTGTTCAATGCACTTACTCAGTGTTTGAATTGGAGCATAGTCTCCTGGTGAAATTGTTACGTAAATGTGTGTGTCATCTGCATAGCTATGGTAACTTATTTGGTTGTTTTTCATTATCTGAGCCAGTGGTAGCATGTAGATGTTAAAGAGAAGAGGCCCCAAGATGGAGCCTTGAGGAACCCCACATGTCATATTTGTCAACTGAGATGTGTATTTACCTATAGAAACAAAGTTGTTTCTGTCCTTTAAGTAGGATTCAAACCAATTTAGAACTGTTTCCGAAAGTCCCACCCAGTTTTCCAGTCAGTCTAGTAATATGCTGTGGTCAACAGTGTCAAACGCAGCACTGAGATCTAATAATACTAACACTGAAGTTCTGCCACTGTCTGTGTTTAAGTGGATGTCATTAAAGACCTTTACAAGAACAGTCTCAGTGCTGTGGTTTGGACGAAAGCCTGACTGGAACACATCGAAACAGTTATTTAAATGCAAGAAATTACTCAACTGTTGAAAAACAACTTTTTCAATGATTTTACCTAGAAATGGGAGGTTTGATATGGGCCTGTAATTGTTCATTACTGAAGCATCTAGATTATTCTTTTTAAGAGCGGTTTAATGACTGCAGTTTTCAGGGCCTGTGGAAAAAATACCTGAGTGAAGAGATTTGTTTACTATATGAAGTAGATCTGAGGCCATGCAAGGCAAAACATCTTTGAAAAATCCTGTTGGAATAATATCAAGGCAGCAGGAGGAGGTTTTCAGAAGTTGAATAATATCCTCTAGGTTTTTATCATTAATCTGATGGAATTGTGTCATGGTGTTTGAATTGATGTTAGGTGGACATAGGGACAACACATTTGCTGTTCCTGATGCAGAGGCACTGACTGCTTGTCTGATTTCCTGAATTTTGTCAGTGAAAAAGGAGGCAAAATCATTGCACGCCCTGGTGGATAGAAATTCAGAGTCTACTGACACTGGGGGGTTCGTTAGTCTGTCGACGGTAGCAAACAAGGCACGTGCGTTGTTTTTGTTTCTGGTAATGATGTCAGAGAAGAACGATTGTCGTGCGTTTTTCAATTCCAAATTATAAAGGCCAAGTCTCTCTTTATAAATGTCAAAGTGAACCTGGAGATTTGTTTTTCGCCACCTGCGTTCAGCTTTTCGACATTCTCTATTTTCTGTTTTCATGGTCATGGCCTTTCTCCGTGGAGATATTTTCTTGCCAGACACTTCCTTTACCTTAGTTGGAGCAATGGCATCTATAACATTTTTAATTTTTGAATTAAAATGATCTACTAGCTCATTTACTGAGATGTTAGCAGGGGCAAGTGTGGTAGAAAAATTCTGAGTAAACATTTCCCTAGTATTTTCAGTTAAATATCGCTTTGTGGTTACCTCTTTTTGAACATATTTGTGAACAGAAATAGAGCTCTCAAAGAAAACACAGGAATGGTCAGACAGTGCAACATCAGTCACCACAACCTTAGAGATATTCAGACCCTTTGAGATAATTAAGTCCAGAGTGTGCCCCTTATTGTGCGTGGGCTCCGTCACATGCTGAGTCAGTCCATAGCTATCAAGAACACAAAACAGTTCTTTAGCCCCTCTGTCCTGGGGGTTGTCAACATGGATGTTAAAATCACCAACAATGACTAGACGGTCAAAGTCAATACACACTATAGACAGCAGTTCAGTAAAGTCATCAAAAAAGCTTGCATAGTATTTGGGTGGTCTATAGATATTTAGGAACAGAGCTCGAGAGGAGCATTTCAGCTGAAGGGCCACATATTCAAAAGAATCAAAGTTTCCATACGATGTCTTCCTGCATTGAAGGGAATCATTGAACAGAATAGCAACTCCACTTCCTTTCTTATGCATTCTTTCCTGACTCATAAAACTAAAGTTGGGAGGTGTTGATTCGATAAGAACAGCTGCACTGTTATTCTGTTCAATCCAAGTTTCTGTTAAAAACATAAAATCGAGATTGTGCTCAGTGATAAAATCATTGATTAAAAATGTTTTTCCTGCCAAAGACATGACATTTAATAAAGCTAGTTTAAGTTTGTTAAACACACTATCAGTCATGTTTTTTGTAACAAGCTGTGGCTGACATGGAATCACTGTTAAATTAGATAAACTCACACAAACGTTTGAGCGCTTCCTGTTTCTAAGATGATTCACCGCTCTTAATCTATTACCTATCAACACAGATATCGGCAAAGCTACTGGCAGGCAGGGCCCCGACATGTCCTGGAAAGAGTTGAGAGTGCCATACGCCCTTGAGCCTGGACCCCACACATATCAGTAAGAGTTTGTTGTGTTTTGTACACACACATCCTTTTCAGGCTTCGGAGACTGCAGATGCTTTCTTGAAGGGAGGGGAGGTGGTTGACGTAGGCACGGTGATGGAGACGGGGGAGATAGGGTTAGGGTTAGGTTAGGGTTAAGGGTTAGGGTTAGAGGACATGCTGCCAGGGGGGGAGGTGGTTGACGTAGGCGCGGTGATGAAGACGGGGGAGGTGGTGCGCGTCTCTGCAGTGATTTTGGTGGGCGTCGTTGAGGAGCGGGGGTAAAGCAGAGCCCTAGAGAGATAAGAGTTACGACACTCCGATAGACCTCCGTTGTAAAAAATGGCGGCGCCTACTTCCGGGGTATGGACATCGAAATAGTTCCAAATATTGTCATTTGGGCGTTGGACCTCATTCACTTACATTACGGCGCGTCGATTAGTTCCAGAGGTAAGTTGCTGAAATATCGAACTCTTTTGAATTGTCAACTGTCTATATTGTATCAGAGGCCCTTTATGATGCTTATACTGGTCTTCATTTGTATATGCACAGCGTAATTATCTATATTTTATCTTGGTTGTTACAACCAATTTTGCTAGCATTTCCTGCTAGTTAGCTAGCGCGACTTCGTCAGCTTTGAAGGTAAGATTTCAGTAATGAATCGCTAGCAGCTTATATATCAATGATGCTGGGTAACTAACAAGCAGGATTTAGATTGATTATGTGTTTTTATCTGCTGAACCTTAGTCGGCTTTTTCTGTATGATATGACTTAACTGCTAGCACTAGTAGTAATGAGGTGGCGTTTGTGATACATTTCATTTAATATTTCATTAAATTTTGGGATATACTAACATTTCATTATGTGACATGTTGACTGTACTTAGTTTTTTTTGGTACTGTTCCGTGTTAACTCATCTGTACTGTACAACTAGCCTAGCGCTACTTTTTTAATGCTGGATGGCATGCTAGGATAGATTCCTTTGTATTGTAATATACACACTAGTTTAATGATTGTTCTTCAAAGGTATTATTCAGTCTTAAAAAAATAATAGCCTACTGAACAGGCTACTCTACAGCAGTGAATGAAGGATGAGCCTAAAACATGGTCATGCATCCAAAATGTTTATTTTTAACAAAATAAACACTTTAAAAAAAATAATTAGCACTTTTTTGTATTCAGCCTCATATGTCAGCCATGGCTGTTGCTGCTGCTGCTGGAGGAGGGTGCTGCTGCTGGAGGAGGGTGCTGCTGCTGCTGGAGGAGGGTGCTGCTGCTGGAGGAGGGTGCTGCTGCTGGAGGAGGGTGCTGCTGCTGCTGGAGGAGGGTGCTGCTGCTGGAGGAGGGTGCTGCTGCTGGAGGAGGGTGCTGCTGCTGGAGGAGGCTGCTGCTGCTGGAGGAGGGTGCTGCTGCTGAAGGAGGCTGGTGCTGGCAACGGCTACAGGTGATGACTGCTGAAAGAAGAGGAGGCTGGAGGCTGCTGACAGTGGACCGGGAATGGAGATGCCAAGTACATCGATGGCAACGAGTAAGGTGTTTGGCAGTGGCCTAGATGTTATGACCTTCGGTGCAGAGGTCTGTTGGGTCTTCTTTGCCTTCTTACTCTGACTCTTGCTGCCAAGATACCCTTTATGTTTATCCTTCCTCTCAGCCCTGATGCACTTTGATGCAATCCTTAACCTCAGCCTGATGTATGTTGAGAGGATTTGTTTCTTCAGGTCATGGCATGAGGGAAGGTTGCTGTCCAGCAACATGGCTTCTTGTTCCAGCTGTGACACTGCATTTGAGGACTCCATGAGGGAATCGCTCGTCCTCACACAGAACAGCTGCTCTACGTTCTGAACAAGGGTGAAAACCTCATCAGATGGACGGTAATCTGGCTCTAATTTGGTCTGTGTTGAAGATTTTTTTAAACTTTAGATTAATCAAATTGTGTTGTTTTTTTTAATGCCGAATTAATCCTTTTCTGGTTTACCAGAGCCCTCTCTGCTCTCTTTCTTAGTAATCTCCCCCTTCTCAGTTGCCTCATTAGATCCTCCACGTGAGCCCGGTCACAACTGGCCCTTGGCAGTCTGGTCCCTGGAGCACCTGACCCTGGCAAACTGGCCTCTTCATAGCTGACCCCTGACTGACTGGCTCCTGGCACACTGATCTCTGGTAAGGTGGCCTCTTGATTGTCGGCCCCTGACATACTGGCCCCTGGCAGTCTGCTGACATCTGTCTCACTCTCTCTGTCTGTTATGTCCCTTTCATTCCCTTGGAACTCCACCTCAATATCTCCCTGAATCTCTGTAACAATAACAAGGCAATCTTGCTGTTATATGTGTATGCTGCCTTTACATGTGCACCTGTGAGACTGACCGTTGAGCGGCCCAGACCAAGCATGGAGGCAGAGGCAGAACGTCCAAAAATATAACCCGACGTGGGCATTTATTAAAATCATGTGCACAAAGTTCACAGCCTCAATCCTGCTGTTCTCCTTGCACACATCCTGCAGCCACAAGGATCCCACACACACCCAGTTACAAGGAAACAGCACCTAAATACACACATACCAACAAGACACAGGTGAGGGGGGAGGAGACAACACAGGACACCAGGTGCACACAATCATCAGCCACAGACATCAACATATTATTTGCACCCTGATTACTCTCAACCGTGACCGGCTGGCGGTGACATCAAAGAGTGTCGTAACTCTTATCTCTCTAGGGCTCTGGGGTAAAGGACATGGTGCCAGCCCTGCGTATCGCCTTAGTTTGGTCTTTGAACTCCAGGAAGGAATCGGTGCCAACCCTCTGTATCTCCTTTGTGTGTTCAGCGATCTCCAGGAGGGTGGGCGATGGTGAAAGGGTGAATGGAGTATCCTCAAAGGCGTTGACAGGTGGGTGACGGGCGGTGGAGACTCCTCCATGTGTCTCATATGTCTCCCATAATCAGAACATTCCGCAGGCGGGTGCAGTGATAATTCTTCAGGGTTTTCTGCACGATGTGTTGTGTCTTTCTCCTGTTTTGATTCCTCTTGCTGCTTGTCCTTGGCAGAGGGAACAGATTGATGACGCAGGCAGTTGAATATGTTAGAGATAAACAATTTCACTCCTGACTTGTTCAGGCAAACCCGATGGACACATGATAAAGGAAATGTTCAAATTCGGCTGTGATCGTAGCAACATCGGGCCATTCGTGAGGGCATCTAAGCCATCGTATGACCGCCGGTGCAGTTTCTCAGGCTCCGGCAGCAACTTTGTGAGCGGCAACTTCGTAAGGCACTCGTGAGGGCATCTTGTCAATTCGTGTCATCTTCGTGTTATCATCGGTGCATTCACCCTCACTCTGATCGGGGCGAATGCCCGATGGCACCGATGATAACAAGATGCCCTCACGATGGCCTTACGAAGGGCAAAATGGACACACAAAGTCAACACGAAAATGAACCTTCGCAAGGTCCTTCAGCAATTTTTTGGCATGCCAAAGATTTTCCCACCGCTCACGAAGTTGCTGCCGGAGCCTGAGAAACTCCACCAGCGGTCATACGATGGCTTAAGATGCCCTCACGAATGGCCCGATGTTGCTACGATCAGAGCCGAATTTGAACATTTACTTTATCATGTGTCCATCGGGTTGTTTTATTGCACAACAAAATCATGTAAACATATTATGTAAATAACCCAATTTGTGTTCTGTGAAACTAAAAAGGATATAATATATTATTTTGAAGGCGAGTTGACAGGAAGTTGTTGTTGCTATGGAAACAACATTAAGGAGAACACTTAATATATTCTACATATAAAGACGGATAAAGTAAAGAACAAAGTCTGAAAATATCAGTACAGTATCATAGTACTTTAACATAATTGTTTGTGTTACTTTCGTTGCAGTTGTATGTCTTAAATGTAATGTAAATGTTGCCTTCGTGTGTGGTTCGGGGCCATCTTTGTGCGAAATTCACAATTCAAAATTCGTGTGTCCATCGGGTGTACATTTCGGGACAGTGTGACAGGGACTTAACAGGTTAACCTTCAGCATTGTTTTTATGCCCTTGAACACAACTTTTGATCACAAAACAGCAAAGATAAGACATATTTACAAATATGGCTCTGTAAATTGATGTTGTTTTCTTGCTCTTTCCTGGCTGCTAGTTCAGTGAGACTTATACCAATGGAATCTGTGGAATATCAGCTTTCATATGACATGTCGTTTGTGCAGATAGCATGATGTACAAAGCCAGTTATTTGCTAATGTAGCATTAGCTCGTTTTCGTTAAGTGCTGATTTAGACGCTTGGTGTTGGAATTGTGTTTCGTTTAGGTAGAAATGGTTAATATCGTCTGTTAGCTGAGTTTCTTCCCGTTAAGTGGGTATGCCTCATTAATAGGTTGTTCAATTTGAACATGCCCTGGGACGGTGTTTCTTACAAGATGCTGCGTCTGCCCCCGCGAGTGGGGGCAATCGGGCTTAAAAGGTTAAAACAACAATAACAAAATAAATGATGACGCCTTTTGTCTAAAGAGCGCTTTTCGTAGTTCTCAAAGACACTTAACAAATAATCATATACAACATTAGTCTAAAAATAAACAACCCCCAACATTAACCACACTTTTAAAGCATTTCTGAAAAGGTTCGATTCATGATCAGAACATGGACAATTTGTACCATAGACTGTATATATAAAGTGTGTTTGATTCAGATGTATTCAGGGAGTGGGAGGGGGCTATGGAGGAGGCTATGTTTAATAACTGTAAGTTGCAGGCAGCCCTACTCATAAGACATTTTCTCACCATCTAACCCCTTGCTTCTCTTTAAACAATGTCAAACCTCTGTGTGGTCCTTCAGTAAGTAACGGCTAGAGCAATGTCACTTCTTTGTGCTGAAAAAAGGCCCACACTCCTTACTTGATACCGCTGTGTGTTGTTCCCAGCCAAACAATACTAACTTGTGTACTGGAATGTCTTTGTCCTTGCCCCCTCCACAGACTGACTGCCTCTCTTTTTATCTACCAACCCGTCCCCCACCCAGCAGTGAACGATTATTTTCCACCATCTATTTCTGATGCATTACCATGGCAGCCAGCAAGCCATGCAGGGTTGTTACGGCAACAAAAACGACAGTCTCCAACCTTGACCCGTGTAATCCAATGCTCGAGATCAGGGGCAGACTTTGCCGTCTCCAGCTGATATATTTATTTATTTTCATGTTATTTTTCTAGTTGCTGTATATATCACACCTTCCATGACAGAGTTTCACACATTCACAACTGGAGCCACAGTCCTGGTGGTTTTCATGTCATCTGGGTGTAAAGGTACCAAACAATCTTCAGGTTAACAATATGAACTCAAATTGTCCATGATTTTGTATAATTGCTTGTTATCATTCCTTCTAATTCTCACTGAGGCCAAGGGATATAATTATTTTGAGCATAATGCTCGCCTTTGCCCCTTTGATTTTAATAAAAAATGCTCCCAATGCACACGTTCTTTATGAATCCATTATTCATTTTTGAGAATAGTTGTTCACTGTGGCCGCCTTGAATAACAACAGCTGTCAGTATGTTCCACAGTATCTCCCACTGTTATCTGTACTGTCCTAACAGTCCACACAGCTGTCAATTAAATCTTCTGTTAAAAGATTCATCGCATCACCGAACAACTTTATACACAGCGATAACTCCTCATCAGTTTGTCTGAAAACGCAGGCATTGATTCCTACATATGCTGCAGCTCAAATGTTTCCATCAGCCCAGAGGCATCACCTGTCGAGTTGGTAATACACTTATACACCAGGGGTGCAGCTTTCAGTATGTGAACTTGGCTTCTGTTTTTTGTATTCTGTCCAGTTTGTGTACATGCTCTGCCTTCTGAATGGATACATTTACTTTGCATTGATTTTATTCCAACTTTAACAGAAGTTCACCACTTTAAACTGTCAATCACCTCGCCCACGTTCCCTTGCTTTTGCTCTCTCAGTTTTTCTGCTCTAGGCGTACCTTTTGTCCTGTCATTTTCCTGGATTTGTTATGCTTTCCCATTTTTACAGGTAATAATTATCATCCAATACCCTTCCTTTAACAATGGCTCTCAACAAGTACCCAAATGTTTCAATGTGTTTTGTCTGCCTCCCATTGAGTGCGCTCGCCTATGACGCCCCCGGTGTACTCAGCCTCACCACCTCTCTTCTTTATCCACGTGAGGCTGTGAGGGTGTCTAATGACTGAACAAAACAATGACTAACTCGAGAACAAATCTATCTGCATTCACCTGGCTTTCAGGCACTTGAGCTAAAGCCCAGACCACATGCTCCACAGTTCATGTAGTTCTGGCTCTCCCAGCAGCAGTTCAACTTCACATTTCTCTGCACTGCCGCAGAACAGCGAGTACCAACAGTATTATTACTGAAACTAAAATCCTGGCCCCGGGAGATTGACAGTTTCGCTCCAGGTCTGCACTCCATGAACAACCAATACTGTTATGTTTTATTAAATGAATACAAACCACAATTGCCTTTGTTTTAGGCTGCTTGCAGATCAAATGTGTTAGATTCTCTCTAATTTAATTTATGCTGCTGTCTGAAGGGGCTTTGTGCATCTCACAGACTTAAATACAGCATGAAGGATTTATTTATACTCCAAGTCTGTTTTCTCGTCAAAATATGCTTAAACGGGACGTATTATGCTCATTTTCAGGTTCATATTTGTATTTTGTTCCTCTATTGTGACATGTTAACATGCTTTAATGTTCAAAAAGGTCTTTATTTTCTCA